TTATTTAGCAAGCCTAAAAAAAGAGAGAAAAAAACATTAGTCACTTAGTCTTACCATACTTTCTAGAAACCTAACTTCCATAATAAATATTTCCTATTACAATTATTCTGAATATATGGTATCCTAATATAACCAATTCCTATAATCGCTGGTTATTTAAGCTTCATGCTCTAACTTAAAAAGGTTAGATAAATGAGATTTTTTTAAAAAGGAGCTTAACAATAAAGAGAATTGACATCTTAATTTCTTTTTTCTCATTTATCTTTTGATGGCTCTTTTACTAAGAAATAAAACAAAAAAAAGTAAAAAAAAAACAGAGAAAAGTGAAATAAGAGACTTTAATAAACACAATATGCATAATTACCCCCTGAAAAAATAAGATATCATGATTATCTATGTGTAAAAATACCCTAAAAGTATTCAAATGGGACTACAATGAGAAAATATAAGCTACATCATTATTCCTACCCAGTGCCTTGGTCAAAATAGAAAATCATAAAATAAGCATGATGCCGTTCTAAATACTAACTCTAAATATTTTTAAATGTTGCTCCTTTCTGTAAAAGCTAAAGCTTATCTTTGAAATGCTTCTATTTCAGCTCTAAAATAGATATTAGCATATGATCACATTTCTTATTGACAGTTTCCTCATTCAGATATCCTGCTACTGGTGGGAAAAATTAAGTTTTTTTCCCCCTAATCCATATTAATCTCTGAAACAATGAACACTGTACCTCTGGCTGCTGCAGCTGCTAGTTACTTGCCCCCGGGTATCATACCCGACGACAACGCCTCTCTGCTTGAAGTCTGAGAAACATCTCTCCAGGTATTTGTACATCCCCTGAAGCAGATAAACACAAAACATTAGCTCCTGACTAATGCCTGCATTTTTCTAGGATTTAAAACCTATTGTTTTTATGTGCAGTGTGCAGTTTATGGGCTCCTGGCAATCTGGCTTCTGCCTTTATGCCCCATTGTGGAAACAATACTGTTCAATCCTCAAAGGTGAGATGTCAAACATTTATTTCCCGGAGTTCCAGAAACATTTAATACCACAAAAATTATCTTAATTTACTTAATTGTAAATATTAAACCCAATACGTTACATAAAACACAAAGGGGGAAAAATATGGGACATGCTAAAAATATTGTTAGAAGGGCCAAAAGAAATTGTTTCTTGCCTTAAGGCTTAGAGAACAAAATTTTGACCATTTTAGGCCTTTCTAAATCACAAGATGAAAGCTAATCAAAAGATTTCACTTATTTATGACACATTTTTAATCAACAACACAAACCTTCATTAGAACATTTCTTAAAATGGCTTATCCCATTTGTAATTCCTTGGTCTTAAAATCCCACAGAAAAGAAAATCCTATAAACTAGGACTATTAATAGTCAAGGGTGACAAAAAGATGAAGTATTTAATATTGAAAACATCATGAAAATAGCTAAAACCATTTAACTATCTTATGATTTGCTAACATAAACACTTTCATTTCTAAAAATAATCCTATATAATAAAAGGGTAATATGCAAATTGTCCCCTTGACCAAGAGTTCGACCAGAGTTTGACCAGGGGGTGGGGCTGGCCTGCCAACTGCCCTGGGGCCCCTCCCCGCAGCCGGTCCTGCCCCCGATTGGCCCTGATTGGGGTGAGCCAGCCGGACCCCACCCATGCATGAATTCATGCACCAGGCCTCTAGTATTTCATATTGTTACAAGTTCTTTAAAACTACTTTCACAAACATTGCCACACTCAATCCTTACAACCCTGAAAAGAGAAATGCTGATACCACTTCTATTTTTGTCTGTCTTTTAACATCTCTTCAAAAAGGAAGCAGAATAAGATTGATGCTCCATTTAATGACTTGCCCAAGGCCATTCATTCAACTAAAACTAAGTTATACACAGTTAATTAAAGACCTACCACAGGAAGGCACTGTTGTAACTATGTGGGAGCACCAAATGAGGCCCCAGTGGCTTCTGGACTCTTCTTCCAGGGCTCTTTCAAGAATAATTATTCTGCCCATGATAGCTCACTGGTTGAGCATCGACCTATGAACCAGGAGGTCATGGTTCAATTCCTGGTTAGGGCACATGCTCAGGTCATAGGCTCGATCTCCAGTAGGGGGCATGCAGGAGGCAGCCAATTGATGATTCTCTCTCATCATTGATGTTTCTCTCTTTCCTTCTCCCTTCTTTCTTTGAAATAAAAAAATATATGTATTTAAAAAAAGAATAATTATTCTTGCCCTGGACAGTGTGGCTCAGCTGATTGGGCATCGTCCCATGCACTGAAAGGTTGCTGATTTGATTCTGGTTCAGGGCACGTGCCTGAGTTGCAGGCTCGATCCCTGGTAGGGGGCGTGCAGGAGCAGCCGATCAATGCTTTGCTCTCACATCAATGTTTCTCTCTCTCTCCATCTCTTTTCCTCTCTCTCTTTAAAAATCAATTTAAAAATCTTAAAAAAAAAGAATAATTATTCTTCCTGACTTACTTTCTCTGTGTGGGTGTGTGTGTGCACATGCACACCCAAATTGGCTAGTTTCACCCACTTATTTATTTCTAATGATCTATCCTAAAACCTCACAGAACCTCATATTATTCTATTATTCTCTGGCATAAAAATCCATTTTATCTTCTCCCCCTCTACCTAGATTCTGAAAAGGGCTAAGGCTGAAGAATCAGATTCCATCTGACTTTTCTACTTCACACTCAACTCCAGGAAAAATTTGCATTTCTATAGAAATTGTTTTTCAAACAGCTCCTCCACCCCATTTTGTTAAGTCAAGGGATCTTCATTTACAATGAAAGCTTACGAGGAAACCCAATATATAAAAAAGATTGAACTGAAGCATCTGTAGATGAGGAGATGGGGGTGGGGAGGTGGTATGTATGTTGTCATCCCTTCATCCCCACCCCCTGCATTAGCCCTTGGCTTTAGAGCATTCCCTCAGAACAAGGCTAAAGATGATTTTCTGTTTGCCAGGGTCAATTAGAATTATGACTACTGAACATTTCTCTAATCCAGATCTACTTTTAGTATATGCCAAATCATTTTGGCCTTCAAGCAAGTATAGTTCCTTGAAGCAATGATAATGATTCACTGGAAAGAAAAGTAATTAGTTTCTTGTTTCCAAAATAAGTTGCATAAAATGGGGAGAAATAAAATAAATGGCATCATGTCATACACTGTCTTAAAGAACTCTTAAATGGATATGAAGAACCAAGGGAAATATTTTCAACTAAATTTTCCAAATACTCTGATTAACCTGTATCAATGGCCATATGCCAAAATGGGTAATCTAAATAGGAAATGTCAATATTCATTTGTTAGAAGAGCCAAAAGAAATTGTTTCTTGCCTTATGGCTCTAGAGAAAAGAATTTTGACCATTTTAAGCCTTGCTAAATCACAAGACAAAAGCTAACCAAAAGATTTCACCGATTTAAGACAAATGCAAAGTAACACTGTCAAGAAGGTGACAATGACAACCAAAATAACTCCTACTGAGAAATTTAGTCTTTGACCTTGAAGATACAGAAATGCCTTCTAAGATAAATCAAATATCAGAATTTGTTCTTTTTTTATTTACCTACAAGAGAGTATCTTCCTGGATATGAAGGTTTTGGTGTGTTTTTTTTTAGAAAGGCACTACCTAATTTATACGGTAAAAAACACTGAGCGATAAAAAGTGTACAGACTTACCTGTGTTGATTGTATTACTGTAAGGTCATTAATATAACAAAATCCTGCCCCCATAGCAGAACGAAGTCCTGCAGTTCCAAAAGTCATTCGGCAACAAAGACGATCCCGCAGTTCCTTATTCATTCCATTTCGTAACAGATTTTCAATTTGCTCTTTTGTTTTGGGATTCTATAAAAAAGAAGTATTAAAACTTAATCAGGATCACAAGCAGAGAGTCCTAATATGTGCACTAGGGGTGGCATCGCAACCTCCTGATCTGCCCTGCTCTGTGCATGACAGGGGGCGGCACCCCAACTCCCCAATCAGCCCTGCTCTGAGCCCGACCAGGGGCTGCACCTAGGGACTGGGCCTGCCCTCTGCCACCCGGGAGCAGGCCTAAGCCAGCAGATCGTTATCTCCCGAGGGGTCCCATACTGCAAGAGGGCACAGGCCGGACTGAGGGACCCCCCTCCCCCCCGAGTGTACAATTTTTTGTGCACCGGGCCTCTAGTTATTTTATAAAAGATATGCATCCAAAATATATAAAGAATTCCTTTAAGTCAATAATACAAAAACCTAATTTTAAAAATTGATAAAAACAATGATTGACAAATTGATTAATAAACAAGAACATGATATAACAACAATAAAGTGCCAATAGCTGGTTTTCATATACATATGTTGTGTGTGATTGGCACCAGCGAGAGCTTTATATATATTGTGCATGCGTTGAGTCAATATTTATTTTTAAATTGCCAGTGCACGTCATATGTACTGGCTGGTCAGTCGGTCAAATGGTCAGATGGACAGATGGTAGGTCACTTAGCCTTTTATATATATATATATATACTAGAGGCTTGGTGCACGACATTCGTGCACTTGAGGGGGTGGTGCCCCTCAGCCCGGCCTGTGCCCTCTCGCAGTCCTCCGAGGGGTGGGGGATGTCTAACTCATGAGGAGCAGGCCTAAGCTGGCAGTCAGACATCCTTAGTGCTGCCGTGGAGGCGGGAGAGGCTCCCACCACCCCCGCTGTGGTGTCCCTCCCTTAGAGATTAAGAGGAACAAAGAATACATTCCTCTTGACAGACCTCCTATTCAGTGTCTTGTGGATAAATAGCATTGTGTGGTTAATAAACTTGCTGCAGTTCCTCGATTGAGCTGTAGTCCTCCCGATCCCGCTTTCCTGTCTTTGTTTCTTTTCTCAATTCCCACCTCCCTACCTCAGCCCAGCTTAACCTGTCAGGCTGGCCCTGACATTAGAGGCCCGGTGTACAAAATTCATGCACAGGTAGGGTCCCTAGACCTGGCCGGTGATCAGGGCCGATCAGGTTCCCCACCTCCCTGCCTCCTCCTTCCCTCACTGCCTGCGTGCCACCACCACACGTTTCCCCACCTCCTAGCCTCCCCACCTCCTTTTTCCCTCGCTCCCTCAGTGCCCTGCCACCACCACTGGTAGCCAACCATGTTCCGCACTGCCCCATGGTGGTCAGTGTACGTCATAGGGAGCAATCGAACCTGGTCTCCTGGTTGAACTCCTGAGGGGACAATTTGCAGATTAGCCTTTTATTATATAGGATTGATAAGATATATAATACGTTACTTTTGTTGAGTGTTTTCAGGCATTGAAATAATTTTAACTGTGATTTCTTTTAAAGGAGCTGTTTAACTCCCAGGGTTATCTTTATTTGATTAAGTGAAAAACAAAACGATTTTTTAACCAAACAGGAAATTTAGATAAAAACCTAAAATTCCTAGATATGCCTTGGTTACTTTGGGGAAAGGAGAAAAGGGAGAAAATAGGGTCAGGAAGTGAATATGGGAAATTAAACTGAATCTGTAATTTGCTTATTTCTTTAAAAAGAAGATCTGATTCAAATTTAGCAAAATTTTATGATTTAACAAAATGGGAACTGTTTATCATTCTCTGTATTTTTAAAAAGAGAGAAATCAATTTATTAATAGGTCCCATTACTTCTTCCTTAGTTTTCTTAAAAGGCTCTATAAGTATCCTAATGTAAAACTATGATATCCATATTTCTAGAAGAGTCTCCAGGCTACCCTCCACAACTCCAATCCATCCTATCCTAATTACATACTGCAGCCAGATTAATCATCCAAGAACCAACAATAGTGTCCAATACCAGTTATACCAAATGTAAAGGTTAGGAAGGGTGGGGCCAGATCCTAAAGGGCAGAAAAGTCTAAACCACATTTTTTGTTGTTAATTCTCACCCGAGGATATTTTTTCCATCAATTTTGATTTTTTGTGGGAGAGGGAAGTGGAAGGAAGGGAGGGGAGAGGGGAAGGGGAAGGGAGATATGAGAGAGACACATCGATTGGTTGCCCCCCATACGTACCCAGACCAGCTGGAGATAGAACCTGCAACCCAGGAACCTACTTTGACCAGGAATTGAACCCTTGACACTTAGGTGTACAGACCAATGCTATAACCATTTAACAGCACTGGTCAGGACTCAAACCCATTTTGGATTAAAATACTTTCTTCATTTCTCTGAGCCTGAGTTTGTGTATAGTTTAAAAAATGGGAATAACTACCTCAACCAATCCTTGGGAGTTAAGATTAAAAGATTTTTTTAACATGGAAGCATTTAGTACTATGTCTGGCATATGATCACTCAAAAAATACTAGTTTTCTATTATCTATTCTTTTTATAAAATATATTTTATTGATTTTTTACAGAGGAAGGGAGAGGGATAGAGAGTTAGAAACATTGATGAGAGAAACATCGATCAGCTGCCTCTTGCACACCCCCTACTGGGGATATGCCCACAACCAAGGTACATGCCCTTGACCGGAATTGAACCTGGGACCCTTGAGTCCGCAGGCTAATGCTCTATCCACTGAGCCAAACCAGCTAGGGCCTATCATCTATTCTTAACCACCTCAGCAGTTCAAAAACATGTGCTATATTTTAGTTTTTTAAAATCTCTTCATTATTCTTACATGCCCCTGTTCAGTCTCATTTCCCTGATCAGTTTCATTTTCCATTTTTTTATACCTCCCACCTTAAGTTTTCTGCCTTTATAGCCATAGTTTATTCCTATCCTACTTACCCATAAAACTCAAATTCTATGTTTTACATAAGGTCTTCCTGACTGAATTCCTATTGCTCTTAAGAACTAGCAGTCAGGAGGAGAAACTAAGATGGCGGCATAGATAAACACCGGGAAATTGCTGCCTCCCACAATTGAAAAATACAACAAAAAGACAAAACGGACATCATCCAGAACTACAGGAAGGCTGGCTGAGTGTAAATTCTACAACTAGAAGGAAAGAAAAGCACACTGAGAGCCAGAGGAGCTGCGGAAGTAAAGTGCAGAGGTACGGAGGCTCGCGCGCGCGGAAAGGGGCTGGCACCTGAGGACGCGGCTGTCTTTTTGAATCGGGAGGGAGTCACAGGCTCCCGACTGCTCAGGACTCCGTTCTGGGAAGTCTCTGGGGCCCCAGGACTCATACGGGGAGAAACTGGACTCTTTGGCATTGGTGGGAACTCGAGGGCAACTTTCTCTCAGAGGTGTT